AAACATGGTTTTCGACCGTTTGTTGAAACGACGGCAGCAAACATCCAGTGGATTGTTTTGACCGTAGACTGTACGATGCTGAGGAATACGGAGAAGGTCATTTTGTCGCGTCTACCTAACCGGTGCATTGAACTGGATTTTCGCTACAAGTTCAGCACAATCTACATTGTTGTCCAGAATGTCGAATATGAACAGCCGTTGCAGAAGAATCCTTCTATCAGCCAATGTTGAAAGACGAATTAAAGCACAGCGATCCTCGTACGGCGGAAGAACAACCGGATCGTTCAGTCCGCATCGTGCTCTCTTGCCGTGCGGATCTATTTGCTTTTCGATTTCTCGATGTGTTTTCCGTCGATCTTGTTTTCCGTACTGACGTACCAATGCTACCGACGTCAGGGAGGCAGCTCCCACCCTGAACCCTAGCTAACCGACCCATCAACTCATGGACCGAGGACCAACGGCTTTACTTCCCTTCCGAAGGAAGGCGTGACCAGAGATTTTATGCCTCAGAAAATCCCGACGGCGCCGACTGGGATTGAACCCAGGCCCATTGGGGCGAAGAGGCAATCACGCTTACCACTACACCACCGGCGCCGCTATCTATTTGCTTTTTGCTTAAGGAAGTGTTACTACTACCTAAAGCTACAACAAATTTAAACAGCACTTTTCAGTGCTCAACCTGTAAAAATTTTCTACCTTGTTCAACTCCTCTTATTCCTCTTCGATCCTTGTTTGGACCCTACCCGAGGTAATCCTTCTTGGATATCGATTTGGAAAATTCCTCTTCGATCCTTCAGATTCTTATAGTAATCTGCTTGGAAGTCGATTTGGATAAAAAATTTACTGCCGCCATGGCGCCTAAACGCAAAAGAAAGGGGCAAACTCTTGACCCCCCTTCTGAAGAAATTAATTTGAGTAATCAATTTGATTTGCTCACGGATGATGAGAATGATCCATCATCCAAGAAAAATTCTAGTAAACTTTCCCGGCTTAATGCCAAGAAGGAAAAGATTCCCCCTATTGTGATAACCACTATCGATTTCCATGCTCTTCGCATGGAACTTTTGAATTTCGTGAAAGTTAAGTTTTCACTACAAATTGGACGTCGGGGTGAATGCCGTGTATTGGCTGAAACCTTGGACGGATTTAAATGTCTTCTCAAGTATCTTACTGAGAAGAAGCACAATTTTTTTACTTATGACACCAAAACTGAACGTGTGTTCAAGGTTGTCATGAAAGGACTGCCCAGTGGTGAATCCCTGGATCAGATCAAAGATGAACTGTCAAAATTACTTGGAGTTGTGCCACTCCAAGTAATCAAAATGAAAATGAAATCCCGTCCTGGCGATTCGCGCAACGGGATTTCTAATGATTTTTATTTAGTTCACTACAAGTCTAGTGAACTAAACAATCTTAAGGCCTTAGAAAAAGCTAGCCTTATGCTCCATGTCCGAGTGAAGTGGGAACACTTCAGGAAGACTGGAGGAAATTTCCAAAACCTCACTCAGTGCCGTAAGTGACAGGGATGGGGTCACGGAACTAAAAATTGCTACATGCCAGCTAAATGCATGAATTGTGGTGATTCCTCTCACGCAAAGGACGACTGTCCTGTGAAGGAAGATCCTAAGAAATTTAAATGTTCAAATTGTGGTGAAAACCACAAATCCAATTTTTGGGAATGTAAGACTCGCAAAGCGATCCTACAATCTCGTTCTAACCGACAGGTAGGAAACGCTCCACGTTTCCGACCAGGTATAAATTCCTCTGCTGTTAACAACGGTCAGCGAGGAACAAATTCTACATTCGTACCCGTAGGTACAAATATCACCCCTGCTTCAAATGTTTCATCTGTACCTACTCCCCTCGCTGCTAACAATGTTCAGCGAGTTAATGGAGCTACCTATGCTGCTATTGCAGCGGGTAGAAATCAAAATACTAACCAACGTTCTAACGGAAATTTTGACAATTTTGACTTAGGAAGCATTACTGCTCCTAAAATGGAATTTTTACAGAATTCATTAATTGACATGATTTCTGATATGCTTAAATCTAACTCCATGTTTGATGCTATTCAAACTGGAGTAAAATTTGCTAATAATATTGTCATGACTTTAAAATTCAGTAATGGATTTTAAAGCATTAAACATTTTAAATTGGAATGCTCGATCTCTTAAAGATAATGAAGACGAGCTATTTAATTTTTTGAGAGTTCATAACGTGCATATTGCCGTTATAACTGAAACGTTCCTTAAACCTGGCCATAAGGTTAAGAAGGACTCAAATTATTTAATTTATAGAAATGATCGTCATGATGGACCCTGTGGTGGCGTTGCCATCATTATTCATAGACGAATCAAATACAAAATACTTTCTTCATTTGAAACCAAAGTTTTTGAAACTTTGGGAGTTTCTGTTGAAACAAAATTTGGACAACTTACGTTTATAGCTGCCTATTTGCCATTCCAATGCGTAGGCCAGCAAAAGAATTTTCTCAAGGGTGACCTCCAGAAACTTACCCGTAATAGGTCTAAGTTCTTCATTATTGGTGATTTTAATGCAAAACACCGCTCATGGAATAATGCTCAAAGCAATTCCAATGGTAATATTCTGTTTGATGATTGTTCTGCAGGTTATTACACTATTCAATATCCAAACAGCCCAACATGCTTTTCTTCTGCAAGAAATCCCTCAACTATTGATTTGGTCTTAACTGATTCATGTCATCTTTGTAGCCAATTGGTTACCCATGCTGACTTCGGTTCTGATCACCTTCCAGTAACTTTTGAAATATCCCAAGAAATAATTTCTAATCCCAACAGCTTTACTTTCAATTACCATAGAGCTGATTGGGAGCAATATCGAACATTTATGGAATATAACTTCGATCCAAACATTCCTTTGCAAACCAAAGATGAAATTAATTATGCTCTTGAATCTCTGACTACTTCTATAGTTGAAGCAATAGCTGCCTCAGTACCAAAATGCGAGGTTAAATTCGATTCAATTATAATAGACGATGATCTTCAGCTCTTGATCCGTCTTAAAAATGTCCGTAGGAGACAATTTCAAAGAACACGCGATCCTGCCACGAAAGTTATCTGGCGGGATTTGCAAAAACAAATTAAAAAGCGATTCTCTGCCCTGAGGAACAAAACTTTTGAAAATAATGTTTCTAAATTAGACCCGAGTTCCAAACCCTTTTGGAAACTCACAAAAATTTTGAAAAAACCTCAAAAGCCAATTCCAGCGCTTAAATAAGGTGGTAAAATTTTGATCACAAATTTGGAAAAAGCTCAGAAACTTGCTAAGCAATTCGAGAGTTCCCATAATTTCAGTTTGCGTCTTACTAGTCCTATTGAGAATCAGGTTGCTAGGGATTTTCTGAATATTTTCTCTCGGGAAAATATTTTTGATGATTCCTGGGGGACTGATTTGGACGAAGTAAGGTCTATAACTGAAAAGTTTCAAAATATGAAAGCTCCAGGTGATGATGGAATTTTCTATATCCTCATCAAAAAACTCCCAGAGAGTACCTTGTCTTTCTTGGTAAAATTATTTAACAGATGTTTCCATTTGGCATACTTTCCTGATAAATGGAAAAATGCAAAAGTTGTTCCAATTTTGAAGCCGGATAAAAATCCAGCTGAAGCTTCTAGCTACCGTCCAATAAGTTTGCTTTCTTCAATAAGTAAACTTTTTGAAAAAATAATTTTGAATAGAATGATGCTTCACATCAATACGAACTCAATTTTTGCATATGAGCAGTTTGGATTTCGCCATGGGCATTCAACTACTCATCAACTCTTGAGAGTTACCAATTTAATTCGTTCAAACAAATCTGAAGGCCACTCAACTGGAGTTGCTCTTCTATACATAGAAAAAGCATTCGACAGTGTTTGGCATGAAGGTTTGATTGCTAAATTGAAAAAGTTTAATTTTCCACTTTACATTATGAAATTAGTTCAAAATTATTTAACTGACAGAACTCTGCAGGTAAATTATAAAAATTCCAAATCTAATCGACTACCTGTTAGAGCAGGAGTTCCTCAGGGTAGCATTCTTGGGCCTATATTGTATAACATTTTCACTTCGGACCTCCCTGATTTGCCTCAGGGTTGCCACAAATCTTTGTTAGCTGATGACACAGGCATTTCCGCTAAAGGAAGAAGTCTTCGTGTTATTTGCAGCAGACTTCAGAAAAGTTTAGATATTTTCTCTTCTTATTTACAAAAATAGAAGATTTCTCCCAACGCTTCCAAAACTCAAATTATAATATTTCCACATAAGCCCAGGGCTTCCTTTTTGAAACCTAGTAGTAGTCACATAGTCACTATGAACGGAGTTCCAATTTCCTGGTCAAACCAAGTGAAATATCTTGGATTAGTTCTTGACCAAAAAATAACTTTTAAAGATCACATTGAGGGCATTCAAGCCAAATGTAACAAATATATAAAATGTTTGTATCCTCTTATAAACAGGAAATCCAAACTTTGCCTGACGAATAAACTTCTAATATTTGAACAAGTTTTTAGACCGGCCATGCTTTACGCTGTGCCAATATGGTCTAGTTGTTGCACTACCAGGAAAAAAGCACTTCAAAGGATTCAGAACAAAATTCTGAAAATGGTTTTGAAGTTGCCTCCCTGGTACAGTACTACCGAAGTACATAGAATTTCGAATGTTGAGACTTTAGCACAAATGTCCAACAAAATAATTAATAATTTCCGGCAAAAATCGTTACAATCCTCAATTGCAACGATTAATTCCCTTTATACTTAGATAAGATTAAGTTTTAGTTATTTAGTTTTAAGCTATCAATTGTTATACTGACATGCAGGTTTAAAAAACCTGTTTAAAATACTGAATTGCCAAGACAGGAACAATGTAAAAACACTTAGATATATATCATAACAATTAAGGCTGGTAAGTTACTGTAGTAACTGGAGCACCTAGGTTAAAAATGAAATGTAATTTATTTTGAATTTGGAACAAATAAAGAGTTAAAAAAAAAAAAAAAAAAAAAAAAAAAAAAAAAAAAAAAAAAAAAAAAAAAAAAAAAAAAAAAAAAAAAAAACAATTGGATCGTTCCATGGTAACAATCGTAGAGCGTAGCGGACAAAGTTACGTTGAATCTTTTCAATACGAAAGCAAAGCGTGACGTGATACGGTGCCCATACTAGAACGCCATATTCCAGTATGCAACGCACTAGCGAAGAATACAATGTTTTTAGACAGTATACATCCTCAAATTGCTGCGTGTTGCGCTTGATGAACCCTAGTATCGCATATGCTTTGGCGGTGGTTGTTGCAATGTGCTCGATGAATTTCAGCTTACTGTCCAGTATTAATCCAAGATCCTTGATTGATGACACACGGTTGACACTTGAAGCGTTCATCTTATATTCGAAAATGGCAGTTGTCCTACATCGGTTGAACGAGATGATGTTACATTTACGAATATTCACTTCCATTCCGTTTAATGAGCACCATTCAAGAAGCGAGTCGATATCGATCTGAAGAGCGCAACAATCGGACATGGAGGTTATCAGGCGGAAGAATTTCAGGTCATCAGCGAACATGTACTTCGGTGATCTGATGAGTCCGCACAGATCGTTAACAAACAGCACGAAAAGCAATGGTCCCAAATGACTTCCTTGGGGAGCCCCGGAAGTAATTGAGAACGTTTCAGATGAGGTTCCACCGAGGCGTACAAAAGCCCAACGCTGAGACAAGTACGATTCAATCCATTGAGTAAGCCACTGAGGGAATCCCATGCGTTTGAGTTTTTCCACTGCCAGTGCATGCGGCACTTTGTCGAATGCTTTAGAAAAGTCGACATAAACTGCATCGACCTGTTGTCGCTTTTCAAGGCTGTCCACAAGAGAAGAAACGTAGCACATCAGGTTGGTTGTTGTTGACCGCTTCCTGTCAAATCCATGCTGACTCTCTGATATCACGTGTTGAACGTTACGATACAAAGAATCATGGACAAGGCTCTCCAAGACTTTAGGAAAGCAATTCAAAATCGAAATTGCACGATAATTTTCGACGTCATTAACATTACCACTTTTATGAATGGGAGTGATGGCTGCAGTTTTCCATTTGTTGGGAAATATGCCCTCCGAAAGAGATCTGTTGAAGAGTATACTCACAGGCAAAGCGATTGACTCCGCACACCGATTGATGGAGAAAGGTGACAGACGATCCGGACCTGCTCCTTTCGAAGTGTTGATAGAAACCAGCTTAGCAAAGACATCTTGCCGAGAGAAGTTGTAGACGGTCACGTTCAAGTCGTAGTGCGGCAAATTGCTCAAGTACGATTCAGTCAAAGGTGGTCGGTTATTACTTTGCACACTTCGAAAGAACGCCGAGAACAGATTTGCAGATTCTGATGGAGATTCAGCTGCCTCACCTTGGTAACGAAGATGTCGAGGCATTCCGTTGGATCGCTTACGGGTCTTCACATATTGCCAGAATTGTTGGGAGTCCTGTTTCAAACTTGCTGCAGTACGATGAATGTAGCAGCGAAAGCATTGTGCATGCAAAGAGTTATATTCGCTCTCTAAGTCACGCAGCTCAGCCTTATGCTGTTCATTCCTAGACCAAAAGTAACACTTCCTTGCCCTGCGTAGACGACTTCGCACCCGTTGCAGTTCATTGTTCCACCATGGTTGTTTCTTCCTGTGGGTGTCGATCCGTTGTTTTAGAGGCACAACTTCGCTGATGATTCCATAAAGCTTGTCGTAGAATATCGATACCGCTTCGTCGACACTGCAACCAATTAGAAGATTCACCCATCCGACGTCCGAAATCATTGAGCTCAAAACTGCAAAATCACATCGCTTGAAGTCAAAATCTAACGGATCAGTTGCTCGGGAAATTTCACATTCGCTTGCATTTTCAATCACAAGCACCAATGGTTTATGATGTTCATCAACACGCAGTAGCGGTGACGGGGGCTCCACAAGCTCGAGTACATTGATATGAGTAGAGAAAACCAAATCTAGTATCCTTCCATTCGCATTACCATAATGATTCAACTGATGCAGACCATTAGCGATGAACGATTCAACCACAGTGAACTCCTGCTCAGAAGACGTCCCGAGTAGCACACTTTCATCACAATAAGTTACAGCAACTTGTTTATGACTAAAATAAGTCGTATATAAATTTCTTCAATTGATTTGTGACAAGCGTGCTACTAGGGGTATTTGTAGGTAGCAAACATCGCAATTCATCATCATGGTCTCAATTCAAGAAGGGTAGATTGTAGTCGTATTGGGACGTTACTAATGGATATTTTTGGTTGCTATTGAAAATTAAGTTGATTGCTGAGTTTATGTATGTGCCCAAATTAGGGACACTTAGGCCGACATTATCTGCATTTCCCCTACATCCAAAGAATAAATTATTTCCTTTTCTTATATTTTCAAAGAAAGGAAAACGCCTTGATCCATTAAGAAGTTTTTCTATTCTTTTTATATACGCGAAAGAAGATTCCAGGAGTGACTATAATAAACAAAAATAGTCAATCTAATACATGGCATACTTTTCTGGGGAATGGTTTTCTGGGAAAGGGTTTTCGGGGGAATGGTTTTCTGGAGAATGTTATAGAACCGTTTATAAAATTAAAATTTATGTTTGAAATTAAATCTCTGATTGGTATTTTAATAAGAATTACTGTTTTTCAAAATAAAATAAAAGTTCAACCATCCGAACGGCTCATACCGTTTCTTGTGATCATAAAAGTCCTGTTTCAATAATTCGTGAATTCCAAACGATGCGTTAATTATAGAATCAGTGAAAAATATCTTTGCGGGACAGTTATACGTAGAATTTCAAAATGAGACAATTAGACATGATGTTGTTTTTATATAAACCTAGCACAAATTATAAGCTTTTCAATTTTCATTCCAAAGGTTACGTAAAAAAAATACTATTTTATGAACAAACGTGAAAAATGGCAGTATTGCAACACTGCTTTTTGGTAGAAATAGTTTATCATTTGTAGCTTCGAAACTTTTGCATCACTCAGTTGAAATTACGTTTTTCTTAACTGCGCAGAATTATGGCGGTTTACGGTATATCAACATCTCCTTATTTTTCATTGATTTTTTTTCTGATTTCATTAAATATGTTGTACAGTGACCCCATAATTTGTTTAAAACACTGACTGATCCATAATTGTTAAAACACTATCGGGCAAGGGAGAATTTCCCCTACACCAGAAGTTAGGCAAGATTTAATGTATATGTTTATTAGAGTCGGTGTATAATGAGTCACGCCAAGAGTGAAGCCAAGTCTACCTATTGAACTGTCAAACCGGCTACCTATCGTGCAAAGTAAACAAACATAACGATGCTATGCAAGGTCCACGAAAGGTATTGCAATAAAATATAAAATAAAATCGAAGAAATGATCATAAACACGCAGTGAGCATTAAATTGTCATGGGGTACGTTTGGTAATGATGAGTAATGGAAATTTCTATTATTTTTTGTTAAAATAATTTGACATAATCCCTGATATAATGATTAACTACAGACGCTATTTTTTGTTCTCGCTAGAAGTCATTTGAAGTTGATGTACACTCAAAAATAATACAATTCATTATCAGATTAAAAAATAAACATTTTTCAAATTCACCGGTTGTATACGCTCCTTAGATTAAATTTTACACTATCATAGCTTAAACTTTATACCAAGTATGAATAGCAGTCAAAAAGCCATCCCAAAGTATTCATGTGGTCCAAGCTGGCGGTCATTAGTGCATATTATGAAAATTGTGTCGATTAGGCTGCAAGTGGAAAATGTTCTCACCATTACGAGGAACCCGTTGATTGAGTTTCATGGTGAATAACTAACGAATAAGATGAGTCAATTGATGGCCACTCCGTCGTCTTGCTGCTTCATTTATAAGAGTCCCGAGAATAATGAGCTTTTATGGGGATGTTTCACAAAAAGTGGCGCACTCGGGTGCACTACCACTGTCTGGTAGGTTTGCTTACATTTGTTTGGTTGTGAATGATTAGCTAATGGGAAATTAATTTCAGCTGCTGACGTCGAATTTGGTCCAGCATGGGGAAAACGAGGAGGGAATCTTCGGATTCATGAAGGAGGACATCAGAAATAAGGAAGCTCGTATCCGAGGACAAAAGTGCTACATCTGCAAGGAACGGTATGCTAACGTTTCTTGCTGCGCAAAGAAGAGCTTCCGTATATTTTATACGCTCTGTGGGATGCGTCAGGCACCTTGTTGCATTACGTTCCAGTCGTGGTGCGATAAGCACGTAGCGCTGGTGGATAAGGTGAAATACTCCAAGACCGAGGCCTGTGGGGTTTGCAACGATGACATGGTACCATACAGGAAGCTGGAATCGATTTGTGCCCCGTGCTGTCAGAATGGCTGGTTCCATCGGAGCTGCGTGGCACAGTTTGCTCAATCGGCGGGGTACTTTCTCAAATGCCCTTTGTGCAGCAACAAGGACGACTTTTGGCCAGGAGATGCAGCAGCGTGGGATTTATATACCGGAAAAGTAAGTGAGGCGGAGGTGGGTGAATTGGTATTGGAATACTGAATATTTTTTATTTGTTCTAGGGATGCCTCGTGGGAGCTGGAACCAAATGCATTCAACAATCAGTTGAAACGTCCTTCAGAGTGTGACGCTGAAGCGTGCCGCTGTCAGTATGGGCGTGATTACGACGATTGCAAGTGTTGGGATCTGATCCAATGTGCAACGTGCGGTATGACTTGTTGCCACGATGAGTGCATGGAAGTTCCCTCGAAGAACTATGTTTGCACTTTTTGTCGTCCGATTGTTGGTGATGAGTCGCCGGGACCAATTTTGAGCGGAAGCAGCAACACGGGTGGAAGCCGGTAACGATAGCATAGAAGGGAGTTCTTAGGGGCCAATCTCGTAGAAGACGTCAGATTAAACCGGATGATTCAGATGGGGACAGTTCAGAGTCAGTTGCAATGACGACCAAACGCAAACCTCAGAACAGACGAACCGTAATAGACTGTGACGACAGCGATTGGTTCCTAAACGAAATAAACCAACATCGAAGCGACGACTGTCCACGACTTCATCTAGTTCTTTCTCGTTGGTTTCTTCGAATGGCGAAGAAATCAGCCTGGATGAACTGGTCAAGAAGATTCGATTGCCACGAGGGACTTCCGTCGAAAAGTTGCTTCAAGCCATACCGGTCGTAAGGCTCGAGAAGCTCAGCTCGGAAAAAATCAAATCGTTGACTTCCCCGAAGAATGAAGTATCCTCCGCCAGATCATCGACTGTGTTCGATTTCAACTATCGTGTGAAGTTGAACAAAAAGCAGCGTCGAAAATCGATGGTAGAATTGCAGTCCATCAAAGAGGTCATCCGTTCCGACACGGACATACTAACGGATACCTCGGTGGGACAGGAGATTGTACGTACCAAAACGCCTGCCCAGAAATCCTTTACCAAGCAGTTCAAACTAACGCTTCTCGGGTCCAAATCCGAACCAAGAAAACGATCGACTAGCGAGTCTGATCCGGAGCACGATTGCACGAGATTTGATTGCTTTGTTTTCACTTTGTTATGCTTTCCTATGAAAATAAACTTTATATTATTTGAATTTATTGCTTTTCAATCAATAAAAATACCAACTTTAAAATGACAGTGATCAAATACATTCTACTGATAATCCACCGCTAAACTACGCATGTATATTCAAAAGATAAACTATACCCCTTATACTGCAAGTTTATACTAGGCTCGTTTTGTTGGCAACTAAACGAAGCCTGGGGTCAACCAGACGAATAGCGTTTTAGTGTGACTTTTATACTAATTAGTTTAAATTTTTTTCTGAGTGTAGAAGTCCTCTGTTGCCAAGTGAAAAGAAAGGAAATATTTCGAAAACCGTGATGCGAGTTCAACTGTTTTTCCCTTGGCGTGACTCATTATACACCGACTCTAATGTTTATGACTTTAGATTTAAAGTTATAAGAAGAAGAAGAAAATTCTAGAAGTGAACGGTTGATTTGAACGATACGGGTATATTGATGGACTCCTCAAGCTGTGTACCTGTATTAACATTTATGACACTCTACTTTAATTGAAATTCTGTACCATATTTTCACCGTGTCCGAGGCGCAGTTATTCAATCTCAAATACGAGTAGTACGCAGTGATTCATGATTGTGTTCAAGGTGCAAATTAAACAAAACAAAAAGGAACAATTACCCTTCATCCGTTACGAACTGTCCACCGTGGGGGGCGGGGGATGTTGTCTGTTCTTGGCTGCGTGTCAAGGTAGCAACTTTGGGTGAACTAGAAGATGGTTGGGATGGTAATGGTGGCACTGGTGGTTGTGGTGATGGTGTTGGTGAATGTGGTAGTGTTGTTGGCTGCTGTAGCTGTTGTTCTGGATTTTGTTCATCCGATTGTGCCAACGATGATTGCTGATCGATCGAAAGCGCTACCGTAGGCAACGGGATTCTACTATGCTCTATGGAACTACGGGATATTGCAACTCTACTGAGAACCGGAGTTCCGGCGCGGGACTTTACACTACTGGTACTAGCACCGGATCGTGAACCGGAGTTTGAACTACTGTAAACGAAAGCATATTTGCACACATAAAGAAGCAACATTTTAGGGTTCAGGTTATTTACAGCACCAAGGGGGTACGGGATCTGCTCATTATTTACTCGTCATGGGTAAGAACAAAAAGTTTAGTTTTTATATATAAACTCACCTTCCGGATCGCACCGAGCCTTGTATTGGAGTCCATACCATACTGGAACCAGTTCTCATACCAGCACCAAAGCCAGGTGTTTCCTTAAAAATGAAATAGCATGTTTATGAAAGAAACCAAACAAATCCAAAGGGCTCACCTTTAAAATTTTCTTCTCCTTAGCCAAAACCTTCATCACGTATCGATAGCTTCGGGATACGCGTTGCAACCGCAGGGTAAGCGAACCCAGCGCTCCCGCCAAGAATGCCGTAATCAAGCTGAATCCCGAGAATGAAAACTTGGATTTCTTCGCCTCACGTTCTTCGGCTTGCTCCTCCTCCTCATCGTCATCGTCGCTGATCAAGCGTGCTTCTTCGTCCGTCGAGGATTGCTGCCTGGGAGGCTCTTTGCTAGTGCTCGGTTTCTGTCCATCCGGCTGATCGGTTTCAACCTTGCTTTTCCGTCTGCCCAGATCCTAAACCGATACGCAAAGGGGAATTGGTTTCAATTTTCAAACACAAATTCAACGACCTACTACTACAACACTGTAGAGCAGTCCTATTTCCATAAGCAACATGTAGACAAAAAGCGAAACTATAAACGTAAAATCAAATGTTCCATCGATCGAATGTGAACTATGAAGCCCACAGAAGATAAGATCCATTGGGCTGGTGAAAGCAACAACAAATGTATACAGCTTAGGAACGAAGAGGCTTTTACACGATCATCCCAATCACCGAGAATTTTTTCAGTGCTGACAGGTGATGAAGACGTGAACAGTATCTATTCCAAAAAATAATAATTCAGCGAAAATATTTATTCATAATAGCATATCGTTGATCAATGGTGTGCGCAAATGACGTGAAAGAATGTTATTTACAAAAGCAACCAAGAGAACGATTCAAAACCAGAGAGCATGTTCTATAGGAAGAACCCCACCAATTGCAAGGTCAGAATTGTAGTTGGAGATTGTATCACTTCCATCTAAAAGACATGGATGAATCCCGTCTATTTAACTTACACAATAATCTAGGACTCGTACCACCTACCTACGAATTAATGACTCTCGGACAGTGCTAATGCATAAATTATTGCCCGACACGATGCTAACTCCTAACTCACATAATAAGGGATGTACCTAATGGAGAACGCCTGGTCATTTTCTACGGACTGAGTTAAATGTACGACAACTAACGACTTTTTCAACTGCAATTCTATGCCATCAAAAATTCTCCAATGCAATACGAAAATGAAATTTTAATGTTGTACAACGACCACAACAGAATGATTTTGAGTTATTTACAAATGAATAAAACGTAAGGAAATAATTATTTTTTAGGACGGCTGCGAGACTAGTGAAATGTAAAACACGTGCATGTCTAAACCTTGCCAGAAGATGTAGTTAACAATCAAGGTTACTGGATCTGTGACGTAATCTAGTGAGGCAGAAAACATGAATACAATTAGGACAGTTGCTGAAAGCCTGAAGAATGGTGATGGTCGTTGCAGTCCTGCCATTAGAACGGACTTGCATTTGTTAGAAGGAAGAAATCGATCTTGAAAGATGGGTGTATGTGACTAATCGATGATGGATTGATTCTGTGCGCTAGCCGAGGAAACAACAGAAAGAAAAACAAAAAAAAAAAAACTACCGGAAACAAACAAATAAAAACTCACAAAATGAGTATGACGTGGAATTGGTTCGGAAATGGCGGAACGGTCCGTGGTTCCGGTGCCGGTGGGATCGCGTCCGCGAGTGGAGAACGCTCGCCGTAGGACGGGCGAGGAGCTGCATCTAGCTGCCACACCGCCACTCACATCCGGCGGACTCATCAAGGCCGTTCCGGAAGAGGAATGCTCCTCCTCGGTTTCTGCACTACCACGTTCCTCCTGCAGCGAGTCCTGGAGTTCCAGCTCGTTTTGCTCTTTGATTTTCGCTATCAACTACGGAGCGAATACCGAGTGTTTAGGGGGAACCGGAGTGGAGGGAGGGGGGAGATATTCGGGAAAGCGAGGGAGTGCATTTTGTGGATGGAAATATGACGACATTCGGACGGGTGACAGTCGAATCGGTTGCATTCATACGTATTCATAATAAGGCGAAATCGTGCAGGTGAGCGTAAGGTGATGTACCAAATTTCGTGTAGATTAGAGTGAAATTCGAAAAGATATATTGATTAGAAAATATTTGCATCAATTTGAATTTGTGAAAAAATTTGAATATAACAAAACTCAGCAAGTAAAAAAAAAACTCGTATTCAAACCTAAACAACAAAGGAAGAAAACGTTCACAGTGAATGCACAAATCGAAAGTATGGTACGTTACCTTTCCCAATGTTAGGTGACGTCGGCTGAGGCGTCGTTCGGCGGCACTTTTCTTGTCGAATTCTTCATCCGAGGCACCGGGTTGCATCAGATCCAGCTCAAACTCGTGTTCCGTATCCTCGAACATGTAGTAGTCGCCGGATCGAATGGCTAAATTATTGAAGGGTAAAATAAGTAGAAGATATTAAAGGAAAATAATGACAAGAGGGTTACGCCTGAAATGGAACAAATAACTGTTACTTTTCTTTATTCTCGTTGAACGGCAGTTTGGAACATAATTTGTGTATGAGACAAAACATTATTATTGGTGCGGACAAAACACATATTCTAAAATTGTAGATAGATAATTAGACAATGGTGCAATAATTCTAAAATGCTACAACTATCACAATTTCAACTTCAATCGAATTTGTGATTGACGAAAGTTTAAGTTACAAGTCCCGTAATATTATACAAATATGATTTCTTTAACAAATGGATTGGTTTTTTTTTCAATCATAACCAAACCTGCAGAAATTAAGGAATTAAGGTTTTCCCGGTTCTCCCGGTTCAGTGGCTACCCTAGGGATAATTCAGGAGGCTATTAAATGTGGATTGGATTCATTCAAAAATTCGGAGAAGTATCCGGAAGACTCCCATTCAGCGGAATTGTTTTTGAATATCGTCCAAATAGCAGATGAGCAAACTTTGCATCAGTTTGATGACGATTTTGATCGGGAGGGATTTAGTGGATGCTGGAAATTTGCCAGTGAAAGCATTGCAAGCGTAGCTATTCAAATTGACATATCTGCTTTTGTAAACAATCACTTCAACCGACGATTTGTCTAAACTGCTAACTCACCCACGCAAACAAACACCATCATCAGATAGGGGAATCATTCTCCTACTACATTCTTCACGATACGAAAATCAATTATTTTATTCGTGTTTCACTTATACATTTTTGCCAAAACATCAGCCTTCTACATTCCATAAGACAAACCACATAGGTCCTATAAGAATGCATAAAAGGTATGTGTGACCGCTTATACATTTCATTTGACACATGATCTTCACTAACTTTTTGCAAGGCGTCTGCTTACACTAGTTTACAGCATTTTTGAACTCGGTAAGGTGATGATCATTTCCAATGCAAAATCCTACGCTGAATTCAATGCCGTGTTCAGAAAAAAATAAAGTAGAGCCATTTTTGAGATATACAAAAATTTTGATTTTTTGAATTTTGGACAAAAGTACGATTACTAAAATGTCAATATCTTTGGAACTAGTGCATCAATTTTAAATCTTTTTTTATGAAAATGAAGCTAAATAAATTTGCTATTATATATATGAATATTATGTCTTAATTAAAAATTTAATTTTGAAGTCAATTAAAAATTTACAGCATTTTATTTTTTTATTTTTCCTGTGAATTTTCCATAAAAATCTTGTTTTAATCAACATTTTTAATGGGATAAAAAGATTCATAAAATCATTCCATAATTTATTCTTAAAGTCCATTCAAAACCGGAGAAAATGAGCCTTTAATGGATGAAATCGGTTGGAAATTGTCGAAGTTATGAGCATTTTTGTAAAACACTTAAAAATGTTGCTGAAATACAACAGCTTTAGAGTTCCTTTTCTAGGTGTCGTTGTAAGTATCCAAATCGCATGTAAAGTTTTCATGCGAGATTCTTTTCTCTACATATCAATTTGATTAAGGCATATCAGGATTTAAAACCGAGTTGATACAAAAGAAATTTATTTAGGTTTTATTAAAAATGATTGAGAATCGAATGACTTTGTCTTCGATGTTTTGAACTTGTTTCTCGAATCAGAAACCAACAATAGTCACCCATCATTGCTTCATCCCAAAACCCTTGGTAACGACGTTCCATCATCTTCATTTGTTGGTGAAAACGTTCGCCGTGCTGATCACTCTCGTCACCAAGATTTTCCGGGAAAAAATCCATGTGAGCATGTAGGAAATGTATCTTCAAAGACATATTCACACCTGTGTTCAGTGAAATAAAAGGATTTGAAATTAATTATATGTAACAAACACAATATTTTTGATTTATACCTATTTTCTCATAATTTTTGAGCAATTCATCGACGGCTTCCTCATAATCTGGGCTTCTGAAATTTCCTAAAAAGGTTGTGACAACACGCTGGAACGATTTCCACGCTTCTTCCTCATCTGGTGTCAAAACTGTATTGAATTCGGAATCATTGAGCAGTTTTTTGATCTGTGGGCCAACAAATACACCTTCCTTTATCTTTGCGTCAGATAAATTTGGAAATACTGATTTCAAGTACTGGAATGCCGGCCCTTCTTTTTGCAACGCTTTGACGAAATTTTTGAATAGCCCAAGTTTTATATGTAGTGGTGGAAGTATTATGCGTTCTTTTACCACAAGAGGATCATTTTCAACGTTGTCTTTACCAATTGTGAAATTATCCCGTTTTGGCCAATCTTTTCGGACGTAGTGTTCCTTACGAGCTCGACTGTCCCATTTACACAAAAAACACATATATTTTGTGTATCCCTGTTGCAATCCAGTCAACATGGCAACCACTTTAAGATCGGAACAAATTTTCCAATTGTGTTGATTGTAATTTATCAAATTGAGCAATAGAGCCATTGATTCATACGTTTCCTCATATTAACGGCATGAGCTAATGGAATAGAAGGTTTCTCATTCCCTTGATGCAGTAAAACGGCTTTCAAGCTCAACTTGCTGCTATCGATGAATAAACGCCATTCAGCTGGATCATATGGCTCACCAAACTCTTCAAACAAGCCGTTTACGTCATGGCAAAAACATGCCTTGTCCTTTGTAGAATAATATTTGTCAAATTTCTTGTGACGATTCCTGTGACAAGAAATTTTGACCTCCTTGCTCAGCATGTTGTGTTCTTTCAAGCGTGATGCCAGCAATTCGTATTTCTCCTTCGATAAGTCGAGATCTCGCACCAAATCATTAAATTCGGATTGTGTAAACAGTTTTGGGTTTCTTTCCAATTCCACCTCGAAGTCTTCCTCGCATTCCTCCTTGAATTCCTCCTCACTTTTTGTAACGGTCGATTCAACAGAGGGCGCTCGTTTCCGCTTTGGATAAACAGGATACGGGACCGAACTTGAATGTGGAACAGGTTTTGTCATAGAAGCCACTTGTGGATACTCAACTGTTTTGTGACGTCCTTGTTGCTTAACTTTTGTCAAGCAGAAATAACAATCCGTTGCATGACAAAACGGTCGACGCCATATGGTGGGCATGTCAAAGGACAAATAGCGACTGACAGATAACAAATAAGTGAGTTAGTAAGTAAGACATTAACACTTATCAAAAATAGATGAAGTAAGATAATGTCGATCAGGAAAGAACAAAGCACTACCATGCTGTACATAAATTGTTTATATGAAAGTTATTCAAAAAATCAATTTACCTTGCGCCTGACATCCACCTAGCAAAGCACGTTTTGCACGAACTACATAATACTTTTGGAATCCACGGTTCGTCAAAGTCTCCAGGATCAATTTTAAAATAAATCCTGTATGCAGTTTGCAACGAAGCAGTGAAATTGACCGATTTTGTAAATATATAGTTGCCACACGCGTAACAAAACTTTTGAGGATCATTTTTACACTTGAATTCACGTTTTGTCGTATACATCGTTAAGCAATGTTAAAGAAAGAAAACTGTCAAATTGAGTTGGTTGCGTTAGGTTCTCGCCGAGCGGTCTCACAAACACTAGCGTAAATTATATTGTTAAAAATATCCCATTTAATTTTGCGTGATAGCTGGTAGTGTTAGTGAAATGCACCGTATGCGTACACGTCCGCAGAAAGGCTTACTGGAAGTGGTGCATGAACCTAGGAGGTGGACAACGGCCACTCTTGGAACATTCGATTTCCATGATTTTACAAAAAATTTCATAACTTCGACAATTTCCAACCGATTTCATCCATTAAAGGCTCATTTTCTCCAGTTATGAATGGACTTAAAGAATAAATTATGGAATGATTTTTTGAATCTTTTTATCCCATTAAAAATGTTGATTAAAACAAGATTTTTATGGAAAATTCGCAGGAAAAATAAAAAAAAAAATGCTGTAAATTTTTAAATGACTTCAAAATTAAATTTTTAATTAAGACATAATATTCAAGTGAACGATAGCAAATTTATTTAGCTTCACTTTCATAAAAAAAAGATTTAAAATTGGTGCACTAGTTCCAAAGATATTGACATTTTAGTAATCGTACTTTTGTCCAAAATTCAAAAAATCAAAATTTTTGTATATCTCAAAAATGGCTCTACTTTAATTTTTTCTGACCACGGCATTGAATTCAGCGTAGGATTTTGCATTAGAAACGTTGGTCAACCACTAAAGTTTACACTTTTTATGTTGTTTTGTAAACTAGTGTTATTAGTTGACTTATACATTTTATGAATAATCAGCAATAGAAATTTGCCAAAAGGTATAAGGAGATTTCTATCCTTGTTGATGGATTCTTAAGAAGCTCAATATGTGTACAGTTAAAACATCAAAAAAAAAGGTGTGTGGTCATTCCAGAGAAAGCGACGTTCAAAGTCATTGTTTACGTTTCGAGTTATACCCTTCTGACATGTTTCCCCTTTTTCATTAACAAAATGTCGCAATGTGCAATAATGATTTTTTTCAATGTCTGAAGATCAAGAATCTGATTTGTATTTTTCGTGCACCGGAACGTTGAAAAAAAATTTCCACAACTGAGTGAAAGTAACAAATGGGCAGGTGGTGTGAACAACTGTGCATGCCAAGCATGGTCACGAATGACCCTACCCAAGCAAAGCTTGAGTTCAAATTGAAATCAAAATTTGCTATGCCTTTTTTTGATTACTCACTTTCATCTCGCATTCGTTGAGTTAAGGGATAACATAGGGATAAATGAGAGCAACATTTCACACTGTTGAATCAAACGGAAAACTAATCCTGCATTCAATTAAATCAATTTGATTACCGATTTTGCATTCATAATGTTTAAATTAATACGGGCCTGGTGTTTTTCACGCTGAAAGGCCATCTCAACCTTGGACAAGTCACGAATGAGCTAAAATTACCACAAAGTAAATAAACAATAATTGTTAGCTCGACAACAGATGCAATTAACTTAAATGTTCAACAAC